GTCTTCGCGAGGGACGTCCACGTCCAGGGATGCAGCCCCGAGAAAATGCTGCCCGTAGCTGTGGTACATTGGAGGGTCCGCTGGCGACCGCCCGATATCATAGTAGGTAATCTGGCTCTCTGGGGGCTCGTCGAAAGCTGTGTTACCGACAGCTAGCTTGCATGAGGTGCAAAGTTCGAGCAGGAGCATTCTGTTTGATTATAAGTTGTGCTGCGCGTGAGGGTTCCCGAACATGAACGGCCCCAGCACGTCCTCTTCTCCGGCGAAGCGCCTGTGTGGCATTGAAGTCACAGAATAACAGCACCGGTCCGCGAGCGGAGTGGCTGCCGAGGAAGCCCGCCCACTCGGAGAAGAAAGCCTGCCGGTCGACGAGTGGCTTCCCGCTGTGCGGGGCGTGGGCGCTGCGGATAACGACTTTGCCCCCGCGGACCCGCAATTTGAGGGATGCCATTCTCGAAGAGGCTTGTCTGAAACCAATGGTGCTGCGACGCATCAGCGGGAAGATCCGGAATCTAACTCCTGCCGTTGTTTCCGGCTCGCCCTCTGCAGTGCCAGACAAGATACGAAGGACACCCCCGTCTGTGATCTCATCCTCGGACTTGCCCTTGTGCGTTTCCTGGAGGCCAAGAATGCAGATGTCCCCCTGCTGAATGTGCCGCTGCTGCTCTACAACCTTTGTCTCTTAAAGCCCTTCCACATTCCAAGCTCCAACTTTGAATTTCAGACCACACACGGCGAGCTGGCACTTCTGTTTCATACGACCTTGTTGTGCTTGGTGTAGATATGATACCAAAACTTGAACATGCAGCGTGGACAACTACAGATGCTCTGGGTGAAGCTGTGGGTGAAACTGTGCTCATGTGCTGTGTTTCCCAGTGCCCTTTGGCACCGCACTTTTGCTCCATGCCCTGACCGGCCCGGGACAGCATGTCCGTGTTCTTCTGGATAAGCTCCTGCACAGCACGGTGGTTGCGCAGCTCCTCCCAGGTCGTCCAATCGCCGTGCCATTCGTATCGCACGCTCGTTGTCGTCAACGTGGACCGTCACCGCCTTCTCGCCTCCAACTGTGAGCAAATACGGAGCCTCGTCGGAAATCTTCACGCGGTATTGGATCCGCCAGTCGTCTTTGAACAAACGCTTCAAGCCGAAGCAGAAGTTCCGGGCAGCACGTTCCGGAGCAGGGCGATCAGCCGTCGCCCACAAACCTTTCCCTCCGCCAGGCTGGAGACCCGCCGCGCGGAAGAGGTCAACAGCTGTGTCCCTCTCCGGCCATATATGGGGCCACGTAGCGCTGTCCTGGGCGGTGGAACCGCATGCGAATGCAGCCACCAGGGCCTTCGGTGGAGCTCCCGACGGGGCCACGATATGCGATCCTGGGCGGAGGGAATCGCATGCGAGTGTAGCCGCTCGGGCTCTAGAGGGAACTCTTTTCGGGCTACGGCACGCCGGCATGAGTGGGGGAACCTCATGCTACTGCATGGGGTTTGGGCTCTCGGTAGCAACCCCTATGGCGCCACGAAACGCAGTCCTGGGTGGGGGAGCCGGATACGAGTGCAGCCACTAGGGCCTTCGGCGGAGACCCCTACAGAGCCCCGAAACGTTGTCATGTGTGCGGGAGACGCATGGTGGAAAAGTGAGGAGGGAGAAGGGGGCGAGGAGGTGAGGAGGAAGGAACGCGGGGCACTCTCTTCGAAACAAAGACCTAACGCCACAAGATGGTTGAGAGGCGACGCTGGCGAAGAACAATTTGGGGGATGGCCCCCAGAACCGCTTCCAAATTCAGGCATTCCGAAAACATCTGCCCCTTGACCCAGAGCAAAGAAGATCTTGATCCCGCCGGTCTCATTCCAAAGCGCACAATCGCAATGGCGTGTCCAGACGTAGAAAAAGAAACGCCGATAAACATTCGCCCAGGCCCCAACCGTTTCAGTCACACGCAAAGCCAACCCAGAGCGACCTCGAGGCGTTTTCAAACTGCCGCATGGGCGAAACTGTTGTGGAAAAGTTCACACGCGCAGGCCGCCTTCCGAGAAACAAAATGACGATCTCGCAACAGCAAACGCGCTCAACTTTCGCCCCCCCCGTTGGCGCCACCCCCAAGTGGAGCTGAAGGACACTCCCAAGAGGGGTCCAAGAGGTGTAGAATTCATTGATATCCCTTCCGGCTCCCGACGCCTCAAGACGGCCCACGAGGTCCCCTAGATCGCCCCAAGAGGGTCCAAGAGGGCCCCGAGAGAGCCCCAAGACGGCCCAGGAGGGCTCCAGGACCGCCCAAGACGACTCCAAGACGGCGCAAGAGGGCCCAAGAAGGCCCTAAGAACGCCCCACGAGAGGCTCCAGAAGGGAAACACGAAACAAAATATCGAGCCCTAGACCATAAGGAGCCCCCAGGAGGTCCCCAAAGGTCCCTCAGAGGCCCCAAGAGGCCCCCAACAGGCGGTCAGGAGGCCGCCAAGAGGCCCCAAGGAGCCCCAAAAAGGCTTCAGGTTAAGACGCCCCCGAGACCTCGGAGAACTCCCAAGAACTTCCTGTGCACTGCTGCCCCCCAGAAGTTCACGACAGCGCTCCGAGGAGACCCCACCCTCCGACACGAGGGTTCCGTCATCGCACCAGCTCTCTCCTTCTCTCACTCGAACGGTCTCCAAGCGAGCTTCCGCAGGCAACAAACCCCCGCGAAACACCAGAAGCCCCACAGGGCGGCAAACACCCAAAAAACACTTAAGAAACCAACGAACCTCCGACATCTTCTCCACAATGTCCAAACGACCGCCACGCGGCTGCTTCAAGGGAGCTGCTTCAACCCCAGACATGCCGAAAGCAATGTCTCACAGACACACACGCCGACCCTGCAGCTCCGCACCGCCAACGACCACTCGGCCAGCCGACACAGCGGTGCGCAAAAATGGGCCGGCGGAGTGAGCAAAGCGATTGAATAAATTGCAAGGAAGTCCCACGAGAGAGCGCTATTCGTATATAAATTGTGAGGAGTCCCGCACGAGAGCGCGATTCTTCAATCAATTGCGAGGAAATATCAGGCGGGAGCCGCTGTTGTTGTAAACCGGGGCGAGGGGCGCAGTTTGAGGAGGAAGACGTTCCCTGATTAAAACAGGGTGCGGGCCCCAGGAGGGACACTTCAACTGAAAGAACACATATGTTACCGGAGGGGGGATCATCAATAACATTTATTGAGAAATGAGATTTCAACAACAGCAGCAGCAGCACATCAACCACAACAACAACGACGACCACAATTGTAAGACTGTTCGCTCTTACTGGCACGCGTGTCTTGCATTCTGTATACCCCAACCCTCGATACCCGCCCACTCCGTCTCCGATTGCACCCCTTTCCGGGGTGGAGATCTTCCTCGTCGGCCACTGACTGAGGTGAGAGGAAGTCTCGAGCGAGAGCGCCGCTCCTGAAATCGGGGCCTCTCTGGCCCGGGGGCCCGGGGCTCTCGGAAGACCGGTCGAACAAAATATCGATCGGGAACCCCCGTCGCCGTGGCTGGGCCGCCACCCGCTCTTGCTTGAATTGCGAGGGAAAGTCTCGAGCGAGAGTGCCGCTCCTGAGTTCGGGGGCCTTCCTGTGATGGGCATGCTTTCCACCACCACCACCATAAGTTGGAGGGGGGAAGGATGAGGAGGACGAGGAGGAGGACGAAGAGGACGAAGAGGACGAAGAGGAGGAGGAGGACGATGAACGCCTCCCCCTCCAACTTATGGTGGTGGTGGTGGTGGAAAACAGGCCCATCATCCTGGCCAGGGGCTCTCGAAGTGAACCGTGAGGAAGTCTCGAGCAGAAGCCCTTGTCGTCGTGGCTGGGCCTCCGCCAGCTTGACTGAATTGCGAGGAAGTCTCGACAGAGATCGCCGTTTCTGCGTTCGGGGGCCTCTCTGGCCAGGGTGCCTCGGGGTGAATTATGAGGACTTATCGAGCCGGAGCCGTTGTCGTCGTAGCTGGGCCTTTAAGGGTCCACATGTAGACTCAAGCCAACGCTCGCGCGGGAGCCTCGTTTTCAGAGAAAATGTAGGCGAGAGCGCGCGGAACCGTTTCCAGAGATCAACAAGAATTATTCTTTAGAAATGAGTATTCAGCAGCAACACCAACAACAACAACAACAACAACAATAACGAAAACAACAACAAAAACAACAACAAAAACACAACAACAACAAAAAAAAAAAAAAAAAAAAAAAACAACAGCAGAAAACACAACAGCAACAACAACAGCAGCAACATCATCAACAACAACAACGACAACGGCTCCTGGGTCATTGATGCTTCTTCAATGTATACACATTCGCATTCTCGCGCGGGATTTCCTCACAACTTATGTACGAATCGCGCTCTCGCGTGGGACTTCTTTTAAATTGATTGGAACGCCGTGCCCTCGACACTAACGAATCACGTTCTCGCTCTTGACCTCCCCACGATTTACATGGGAAACGCGCTATCGCTCGAGACTTCCTCGCGATTAATTTAGGACTGACGGTGAAGCGACCCGTCCGCTCGACCAGACCGTCTAGGCCCACCCGCCCGACCCGCCCGTTTAGGGTCCGCACGCCCAACCCGCCCGTCTGGTTCTGCCGCTTGTTTTCCTGCTCTTAACACCCCCTCCTGCTAATCTCTCTCGTACTCCATGCTTCTGCCTCCCCCTTGTCCCTTTCTCCGTTCTTCCCTCCCCTGTTTAAGGGGATGCGCCAACGACCACTGGCAGGTAAGGAAGATATCCCCCAAGGGGGTACGATCATAGACGAAGAGGTCGGGTGTCGATGGCTTGGGATATACATATTGATTGGCACGCAAGCAGATAGGAGCGAACCGTCATTAAATGACCGTTGTTGTTATGGTTGTTGTTATTGCTCTCGCCGCCCCGCCCGCGACTCGACCCACGCCTCGACCCACCCGTGACCCAGCAGCGCCATGACCCACCCGCGCCGAGACCCACCCGCGCCCCTGATTCTTATCCGCAACTGCGGGGAGCTCAGCATGCTTTTGCAT